TCAATTTTTTTTAAAGAAATTTTATATATGAAAAAAAAGTTTTTTAAAGATTTTTCAAGAACCACCAAGCCAATTTTAGTGCTTTTTTATTATTAAATGTATCTTGATGAACTTTACAACTTTTGTTAGAAGCCCAAGAGTGATTTACTTAGTAAAAAAAAGTTTTAGATAGGAGCTCTGCATATTCGCACTTATAGTAAAATTTATATATAAAAAAAAAATTTTTGTCTAGATGACTTGTAGATTGCCTATTAAAAGCAAATAATTTGTCATTTGTAAAATTATACAAATATGCTCAACAATATTATAAATGTGAATAGGAAATTATCCAAAAACACTTGCTAAAGAAATGACTCAATATCGTGATAAGATATTTCTATTTGATGATAGTTAAACTAGCCAATTCAAAAATAAGCCATATCAATTTTGGCAATATGTTAAGGATGAGGTACCTGAGCTTGCATATATTAGTCAACATATATTCTTTATTGTAGTTAACTTTGCAAGTGTTGAACGTTTATTTAGTGATATGGAATTTATTCATTCAAAGCGCCAAAATCGCTTTAATAGAAAAAAGATTATAAAAATAGCACAACTTCGAGCTAATCAACATATACGAAAACAAGAAAAAGTTTACAAACAAGCAAATAATGTAAATATTGAAAATGAGATTATATCTAACGAATGTAATACTGATGAAGAAGAGTCTGAAGTTATTAAAAGTGAATTAGATTGTACACAAGCAGTTAATGAATAGTTTGTACAATTAAATAATAAAGAATATAATAAGGAGTATGATGAAGAATATGATCAAGTACATAAAGAAACAGATGAAATTTATAATAATAGAATTTTATATCCAGCTAATAATCCCAAAACAAAATGGGAATTAAGTACTCTTTTTTCTTCTTTATTTTCTTCTTATTTGTCAGATATTTAGCTTAAAAAAAATTAGATAACTTTTTATTTAATCATCAAAATAATTTAATAAAAAAATTATATTCATTTAAATTTTTTTTTATATCCAAATATTTAAATAATTATATTGTATAAAAATGAATAATGCCTATTTTTGTATATTAATTATTGACTAGCATATTATCTCAGATATACTAATATTTATTATTCTTAGTCAACCCTATCTACAGAATTTTTTTCATATAATTTAAGTAATTGAGTATTATCTTTTTTTTTTTTTAATATTAATGGTGAGGCCATGTCTCTATCTTTATTGAATATTTAATTGAGATTTTACATAAAGT